TCAGTTTTCTTGTATTTCATCTTACTTCTTTAGGAGAACGTATTGACGAATGGGTCTTCTTTTCTCATTATAAATTGGCATTTATGATGAGCAAAGACCTAATCCCCAGATTTCTAGACTCTGCAAGTGCAAGTTTCAATATCAGACACCCACACAGGTCAGAAGGGCACATGCCCTTATCCATTTGGAGCCAAATTCATTTTGTTGAACAGTTTGAAGGTTTGGACTCAACCTCTGAGTGAACTGCCCAGCAACTGATTGATCTACAATCATGGTTTAAATTAATTGGCTTTGCTCACATCTGTATCCTGACAAAGTATTTGTGAAGGAGTAGCTGCTGTTTACCAGTAACAGCTCCAGCTCATCATTCACCACCTTTTATATGGGTTTGAGGAGGACGAGGAATTTGGACCTCCTTGAAATAGCTGCCACCCTCTTCCCATGGCAACTTAAGCAAAGTAGCCTTTTCTTAGAAGAGACTGTGCCAGACTGGTGAGTCTTGTGTTATAAAATATTATATGTTGCATATAATACAGATAAGTTGTTGATTAGGAGAAATGTTGTGTCTTGACAGCAACACTGAACTGAAGATCTCCATCTCTGCAGAAAATGCATAGAGCCTTCTTTAAGATGCAGTGAACAGCTAGATGAATACACTGAATTATTTTTCCTCTAATACAGCTGATGGGATGAAAAGAAAATAAGTTTGTTTCCTTGATCAAGACTGGGGAGTTAGGATGAGAAGCTTGAATTCCAAGGGTCCTTTTACCATGGAGAAAGTGGTACATTGCAAAGGTATGTTTGTGGACAAGAGAGTACATTCATTCAGCTGTCCTTCATTTAAAAAAGTCAAGCAGAACATTTATAGAAGATGAAATAGTTTCTATAAAGACCTAGCTTACAATTTAAATGTGAGGTGGACCAAGATGGTGTTTGTGATAAGTGTTTTCTTCTGGAATGCTTAGATGGTACATTTGGACAAATGAAGCAGGATTAGTTGTGTAGCTATGTGTTTGTCACGTTGTCCTGGGCAGGGCATAAGGAACTCCAAAGTACAAAATGACAGTGGATTCGATTTGTGCTGCCAAACAAGAGTCACCTCTAAATATTCTCCACACCTGCATGGAATTAATTCCCATTCCCTATGTGTGATGGGAGAGAAATCAAACACTTAATCTATATCATATGTCTCGGAAAAGTTCCAGACAGACACCAGCCTGGAGTGAGAAATGTGGAGTTTTCAGTGATTGATGTTTAAAGGGTAACATTTCCTTAGTTTCATAAAACAGAATGAAGGACTTTTTCGGGCCTGCTTTAAAGGAAATCTTGGAAGAGTCCCTGCTGGTGGAGAAAAAAACACCAGCAGTAGGAATACCTTCCTCTGATAACATGGTCTGTTGGCCCCAGTTTGACCTGGTACACAGGTGCGTTGCTTAAAAGAAATAAAAAGCTTCAGGATGAGGGGTACGTGGGAAAGGAGCTTCCCTGCTCTTTGGCTACCTGAAATGCACGCACAAAATATTGATGGATGAGAAAAGTTTAGGGCGTGCTCACCACCTTCCATGACTGCAACTCTAAAACAAATTAGAAAAACAAATGTAAAAGAACTGTCAATAAACAGAAGAAATTATATGTGGACTTTCACTAATAATGAAATGGGAGTGGACTTTGCAAGCATGAAAGGAATGGGAAAATTCACAAAATAAAAATTCAATATTTAAAACCAGAATTATTCTTAGGATTTTTTGGCATAACTAAAGTTATAATACATTATTAAAATATTTTTAAAAGAAACTCTTATAAACCAAGAAGAAAAACTCTGCCTCTCAAACAGAAATAAATAGGCAAAGGATAGGAAAAGACAATTCACAGAACAAATACAGTGAATAGCAGTGGTATGCTTGAGCTGGCTGGTACTGGCTCATAACTGCCAATTCCCTACTCCTCATTCAGTAATGTCACATTCGTAGCTTGAAACTGGCCATGGTGGGAGGTTTTATACCAGAGAAATCAGCTATAAATCAGGATTTTTAAATAAAAGGCCAGTTTGCCAGCATACCATTAGGATACCGTGGTATGCTACCATTGGTAGCATACCATTACTACCAGTAGTTCAAGTGTACCAGTAATCAAAAAAATACAAGAAGAAATGAGGTCTGGACAAGGTGGAATAAGCACATTTCACCCTATTTCTCCTGCTAAGTGCAACAAAAATGTCTGGACATAAAGTATGCTGGTTAGGGATCTCAGAACTCAAGGAATTACCCAATGGTGTGTTTGTGTGTGTGTGTTCCTTTATATATCTTGGCCTGGGCTCAGGATAGACCCACAACTGGAAAAGCCTGCTATCTTGAGACAAAAGACTGGAGAAAGAGCAGTCTAGAAATACAGAACTGTTTTGACCATACCTGACCTTATTCCAGCTCAACACTTGAAAAAAGCTATGCCTCCCTCCCACTTCTCATCAGGTATCATGTCCTAGAGACTGGCAGATCTGTACTTTCCATCACTTCTTGCAATAACATGCCACATCCCTTCCCTGGAACAGAGACTATGGGTAGAACTTTTAGGGGATTTCTCATCACCATGGAATCCAGAAGGAAACGAAACATTTTTTAGTACTGAATGGAGAAAACAGTCAACACAGAATTCTATATCCAGCCAAACTATCCTCCAGGAATAAATGCATTCACAGATAAAGGAAAATGAAGAGAATTTGTCACCTACAGATTTGCTTTTAAAAAATGGCTAAAGAAAGTTTTTCAGACAGAAAATAAGTTGAAACATTAGGAGTTAAGAAAGAACAGAAAAAGTAAATATATGAGTAAATATAGTAGACTCTTTTAAAGATTATGTTTGGCTGAAAGCAAAATTACAACATCTGAAGTGACTCTCAGTACACATAAAGGTAATATTTAAGACATCTGTGTTACAAAAGGAGGAGGAAAAGAGACCTAAAAGGTGATAGTTTCTGTATTCTACTTGAAGTGATGAAATATTGACACTAATAAACTGTGATAAAGTAAGTACATATACTGTAATCTTTAGAGCAGTGGTTTTCAATCAAGGGAGGTTTTGCCTTTCAGAGGACATTTTGGCAATGTTTGGAGACATGATTACACATGTTACTTCCATCTAGTTGATAGAGGCCATGGATGCTGCTAAACATTCTACAATGCACAGGAAAACCCCACATAACAAAGAGTATTCAGTACAATATGTCAAAACGCTGAGGATGAGAAACTGCCCTAGTGTAATCATACAAAAAAATACAAAGATATATACTCAAATACAGATAAATCAATATGTAATACTAATAAGTGTTCAACTAAACTACAGGAACACAGAAAAAGCACAATGAAACAAAAACCAGAGAGAACAAACAGAGTATTAACATGGTAGACTTAAATCCAAACATATCAACAATTGCATTAAATATTAATGTTCTAAACACACCTATTAAAAGATAGTGACTGGCTAAATGGATGAAAAAATATAATCTAACTATATGCTGTCTACAAGAACCTCTTTTCAAATGTAATTCCATAGGTATGTTAAAAGTAAAAGGATGGAAAAATTCATACTCTGCTTTTTATGCTGTTTTTGGAAGTAACCATTTCTGTTTGCTGCAATCATGAATGATGTTTCCTATTGTGAAATACCATTCATGATTGCAAAAAGACAACACTAATACTAATCAGAATAAAACTGGAGTGGATATACTAATATCAGATGAAGTAGATTTTAGAACAAAGATTACCAGAGCTAAACAGAGACATGACATAATGATAAAAGGGTCACTTTATGAAGATGACACAATTCTAATTGTGTGTATCACAAACAACAGAGCTTCAAAATACTTGAAGCAAAAACTGATGAATTCAAAGGAGACACAATTATAGTTGGCAAGTTCAACATCTCCTCTCAGTAACTGATAGAACTACTAGACAGCAAAAAAAATAAGGTATTTTGTTTTATTTATCAAACTGGTAAAAGTTAAAATTTAGTGTTAGCAAAGTCATGGTGAGAAAAACAATAATGTGGGAAATGCAAACATATGTAAGAGTTCTGAAAAAATATTTTTATATTATGAGGCTTTCAACCCAATATTTCACTTTTAAGAATCTCTCCTAGGGGAATAAAGAGGTCCAAGGTTTACCTGTCTAGAACTTTATAACAGAGCTGTTTATAACAGCAAAAGTTAGAGACATCAAAACATGCCCAATAATTGGCAAGTACTTAAACATTTATATTCAAGCATAGTGTTATTGTTAAATAACATTTTTAAGGATTTTTAATGCCATTGTAAATGGGACTGATTTTTAAGGCAAAACAAAGCAGTATATAAAACTTTGTACAAATAAATTATGTTAAAATACACAATTATAAACAAAAATTAGCAGTGAAAAATTACCAGTGATTATCTCCTGTTTATTTGCTTGTTTTCTCCTCCCTTCAAGTTTTCTATTGTGAAATATCATTCGTTACTGCAGCAAACAAATGGTCATTTCCAAAAACAGCATACAAATGAGATCATATACATAAAGTAAACAATACAGTGCTAAGTTTGATACAGAGACACTCAATAGGTGGTATAATTCTTGTAAATTTGAAATAAAATGATGAGAAAGTATAACTGATGGTTCTTAGGGTGACCATCTGTCTTAGATTGCCTGTCTCTATTTTACTGTCCGGGCCTAATTATTACTAGTCCCCCTGCAGTTCTCAAAAGTGTCATAGTTTAGTTGCATGGGTGGTCTAACTATTCAAATACTTAACACATTACAACTAGTAATTAAAATATATGACACCCTTGTTATACTCCAGGCACCAAACTAACTACTTTATGTGGATTATCTCATTTAACCATCTGAGTAGCTGAATTATCTCCATATTATAGAGGCACCAAGAAGTTAAGCAGCTTGTCTAAGCTCACACATTAACAAGTAGCAGAATCTGGATTTGAACTACATCCTATCATGTTAGTACTCAAAGCATACCTGGGCCTGCCTAAATGCAGGGTTGACTGGCAGGGGTCTGGCAGGGACGCTGGGTGCACGCGGAGCCCGGTGGAGGGGAGGAAGCACTCGCTGAGTTGACTGGGGCTGAGGGACATTCAGGCCGTTGAGGGGTCTGCTGATGTCAACATTCGGACACTGTGGCAATCTCCTGGGATTTTCCTGCACAGTCAAAGTAAAAAGCCATGCTAGAGAGGGTTTCAAAAATATCAGTAATTCCTTAAGGAAAATGCAGTGCCAACTCATCCGTTATAGCTGAAGGCCAAGGTGGAATAAAGGAAAGAAATCAAGGATGTACACAAGAGGGAAACTATTATTTATTTAAACTTCAAAATTCAAACAGAAGTATCACCTGCCTCCATCCCGCCAAATCTGGAATAGAAGGATCGATTTTTGTTTAGATTTTTAAAAATGGTTTAACAGATAGCTGTAAAGCACTTGAATAAGTACCAAGTATAAAGACATGGACCGAGATCTTAGGGAAGTTACAAAAGAGATATGAAAATAAGACACAGCTTAATGTGTACAAGGCTCAATGAGAACTGAGAAAGCCACTGAGGAAAGGAGAGTTGTGGCTTCAGGAGGCCATGGCTGAGGTTGGGGCTTGGAGTTGGAGACGTTCTCCCACATGGTAAGCCTTGTTCTTAGAACAGGTGCTTAGAACAGGGGCTCTTAGACTTCAGGCTTCCACCCCTTCCTTCCTCTCTTTCTAAAAACAGCTTAATTGAGGTATAATTGACAATGTATACAACTTGGTCATTTTTGACATGTTTACACCCATGAAACCCTCACAACAAACAAGTGGACAAATGAATGTGTCCATCACCCCAAAGAGTTTCCTTGTCATCCTTCTCCCTTCACTCTCCCTCCAGTCATCAGTCTGCTTTCTGTCACTATCACTTTGCATTTGTCAGAATTGCATATAAGTGGGATCACGGAGTATGTACTCTGGCTGTTCTTCTTTTACTCAGAATAATTATCTAGAGATTCATCCACAATGTTGTATACATCAGTGGTTCATTCCTTTGTGCAAACATACCATTGTTTGTTTATCCTTTTACTGGTTGATGGATATTTGGGTCGTTTCTAGTTTGGGGCTCTCAAAAATAAGGCTGTGCTTTTATTTTTTTATTTTTTTAAATAGAGTTGCGTTTTTCTTTTTTAAAAAAATAAAGATGTGCTTTTGGCTACCACACAAAGCCATTCTCACTTGCGGTTCCACCTTTGGGGACGAGCAGGGGTAAAGCTTATTGGGAACGGCAGCCTCCTCCTTGGTGGCCCACCCTCTATGCTTTTCAATCACTTCTAATTTTTTTGACACCAATCTTGTTCACTGTTATAATTTGGACTCTTGTTGAATAAGTTCAATATGCAAGAATTCTTGTGGGTACATCAGAGAAACTTGGTGGGGAAAAACTATTAGAATGAACTCTAGCTGTAATTCACCAGGGTAGCAAGAGGGTTAAGAGACAGCAGGGAGCCATGAGGTACTCTGGGTTAAGGATCCAGTTCTCTGAAACCACAGGGTGGACAGGGCTTCCTCAGCTCAGAGGCTGGAGCAAAATGGTCAATTCTGAGAGCTCCGTGTAACTTTTAAAAATATTTTAAGAATAACAGTGGGCTAAAGCAGCTCACCTAAAGCCAAGTGGTGGCATTTGGAAACCATGGTGGGGATGGCGTTGGGGACCGGTATGAGGAGCCAGTTTGGGCTGCAGACCCAGTAGGGCCCCAGAAATGTGGCTGCTCTGGGTGACTGGAGGGATCACAACTCACAATATGCTGCACCATATCATGCAGGGGACACTGACTGTGCCAACAGGATCTAGGTGGGCTTCCATGGGGGCACCATGGGACCTCCCCAGATCATCTCAGAGACCCTCCCTCAGAGCCTGTTGATCTGGCAATGCAGACTCAGCACTTCACAGGCAGTTCCTCTAGGATCCCATTCTTATTCAATCTTGTATTGAAAATCTCATGTCTGCATGTGTGCCCTGAGCACTCACATCTATTCAAGACTCACCTTCGGTGGGTAGGAATCTAGAGGCTTCCTCATCAGGCCTTTTCCGAGGTGGCTGAGGTGAGCCTGACAGGGTTGGGAGCCACGGGGTGGCCGGGAAGGGCGCACACACCTGCAACAGAATCCCACAGCTGTTGACCAAGCATGTTTCCCCTTCTCACTAACTTGAATTTTTACACTTTGCTTATAGTGGCACTCAAAAGATAGTTTACTTAGTGTGCTAAACATGCAAAGGAAAAATTACCTAACACTCTTAGGAGATTAAAAAATAAATACTAATTTTTCCCTCAAAACCTCTATTTTGTCAAATTAGTTCTTGCACTCCATGGAAATGTAGTGTAGTGACACCTGGAAGATGATTTGTATGAAGCTGGCATTTCAGCGATAATGTCTTTGAATATATTTGGATCAAAAGCTACCCCATCTGATGAAAATATTTCAATGTCTCCATGTTGTATAAAAACGACTAACATAAGGGTGGGAGAAAACACATCAGTGGAATTCCCTGACACCCTGCTAGCTTATGTAATAAGCAGCATATTGTTGTTTGAAGAGAAGTAAAGGAGGCAGCTGATCTGGCAGAAATTTAAAACAAGAAACCCCCCCAAAAAGAACCAAGTCCCAGGTTTATGATCCAGAAAATCTGACCTTTGCTAAAAAAAATGAAGTGAGAAGCAGTTTGCTGTTACATTTTCTGAGCCACCGTTTCTTGAACAACCTAAACCCAGGGTACCTTAGTTTTTCAATGGTGGTCTTATTTGTAAACAACATTCGTATCAAGGTCTTCCTTTTGAGATAAACCACAAATCCAGCAGCAAGAAGACACAGGATGGTCACCAGAATTCCTACGGTTAAACCTTGGTTATCTGAAACAAAACACATTGGGCTCACGGAAGGAAGCAGTTACAATGAAATATGGGAGGTATCAAGTTGACATTTATGGCAAAGTGAACTCTGAAACAACAGAAATGAAGACAGTAAACCCTTGAGTGATGTACTAATAAACTCTCTTACTTCAAAGATCATGTTTGAGGTTCAATCTATGTTACCATCATTCATTTCTGACAACTCTAGAACTTGCCAAACAGGAATATATAGTTGGGTAGTTGGGGCGATGGCCTGGACCACCCAGGCTCCCTGAGGTGTGACAATGGCACAGTGGACCATGGTAGCCACAGAAGGTAGCAGGGAGCCATCACCGAAACCTCACCGGAATCACAGCCATCCCCAGGCTCAAATGTTTCCAGCCCTCAGCACAGATTTGCCACCTCAAAGTGCCTTTCTTTACTCATTCTGTAGTTTTGGGTTCTGCTTTATCTTTTTGCATATTTTTAAAGAATGAGATGCTTTCTTGCTAGATATCTCAAAGTAGGTAGTGAAAAAAGAAAACTCATTTAAATGAAGCACCCATAGGTTTTGCTTTGTTATGTTGGGGACTTACAAACACAGCCTTTGTGGGGGAAACCGTTTTTCTGGGAGGAAGCTGTTTTCTCTATGAAAACATCTTTTCTCTGACCTGCTGCCATTTTGTTTATTACAGTTAAGAGCCTCCTCAAGGGTAGGGAAAGGAAGGAAAAAATCAAACCATCAGATTGGTTTCTTACAGCAACTACGGGCAGAGGCTGGGAAGGACTCTAAATGCTCAGACTTAGAGGAGGTCTACTTGTGATTTCAACCGGCCTGTGAATTTTCAGAGGACAGGGATCTTGATTCATTTGTCTTCCCACCAGCAAGGATCAGGGTGTACTTCACATTAGGTAAATGCGCAACAGTCCTTTCAGGCTGCTGGTGATCGCCGCGAAGGTGACTGCAGTTACCTGGGCTCTCCTCAGCCCTGCCTCCCACCTGGACCCTCAGCTGGCTGTGGACCACTGCAGCAGCAGCTCCTACTCCAGGGAAAGAATGTCTTTCACACCCTCTCGGTTTCTGGACCTCATCCCCCACTAACAAGGCCTATCAGGGATGTGTCTTAGCCTAAGCAAGACAGCCAACAGATGACAGTCTTGACTCACTTGTTAGTGTTACTGGAAAAGTATTGCTTCTGGTTTCCTGGCCAAAATGTCCCTCTTTTCAGAGCCTTAGCAGTGATCATAGGGGGCTCTGGCTAGAGTTCTGGTGTCTCATAACAAAGCTAATTTAAAAAGTGAGCAGCAAAATTCTTGAACTATAATTTCTAGTTCCATAAAGTGAATCCATAAGTCTTCAATACATCACTCTATGAAACCGAACATTTACAGGGCCCACACACTGAACCTGCTGCATCCCCCAGGGTTGCTCAAGCCAGAGGCTCCGGCAGTGAGTGACTCCATCTCCCTCTTCCCCATGACCAGCATGAACACCGTGTCCTGTGTCTCCTCCTGTTGGCCCAGTCCACACTCTAGGTCTGAGCCCAGCCCAGTCCACACTCTAGATCTGAGCCCAGCCCAGCCCACACTCTAGATCTTCACGCAGTCAGCTATCTCTGCTTCAGAAGGCACATTTCCCTCGCCCCCTTCAGACCTCAACAGATGAGGGTCCCCAGGAGCCCCCCTGACAATACCCTGCTGCTCCGTGAGGGTTGCTCCCCTCCCGTGATGCCCTCTCTCCCCGCAGTCGTACCCCCCACTTACCATGCCATGTCATACTTGCTTAAAGTCTCTCCAGGACCCAGGAGAGTGGCTGGCATGTGGCAGACAAATGAGTACTTGTTTAATGAGCCTCTGAGCCATGGCCAGGCCAAGGAGCAGCGAGCCATGCTTGCTCATGGCCTGCCTTGGTTCTGTATATGTATGCACGGGGTGGAGGCAGGGATATTTCAAACGCACTCTCTTTTATGCAATAATGGCCACAGGGGATGGAGTTAGGCTCTTCTGTTGTTTTCACTTTTTAACATTCTTATTTTTTAAATGAAGGGTTGGTGACTCTGTGGGTTCCCTGGCTTTTTGCAAACCCTCAAACCTGAGTACTGCTGGTCACACATGTCCGTGCCAAAGAGCCACAGAGCTTGCCACCCTTTCTCCTACTTTCTTCTCCAGTTTGTTTCAGTGCCATTCAGTTTGCTTGGACGGAGACGGAATGGGTGGCAGGGTCTCTGATAAATTAAAAACTAAAACCCTGCTATTTTCATATAATAAATGCGAAAAGCCATATCAGAGCATTAAGTTTCAGCCAGAGACCAGTCATCAGGGCTGTCAAGGCTGAGATGTCAATGGGGAAAGGGGACACTGGGCCCAACCCTTGCTTCTCCCCCACTGCTGTGGAGGCTCAGTGAAAGGCCAGACTTTTGAGTCCTTTTCCTACTTGCTGCAGAGCTGGGGCCTGCTAGAGTGGTAACTTGGTGCTCTCTCGGGAGTAGCATTGAAGCATGTCCACGTTTTAGCAGAAGCTCAACCAGGAACTCGCTGCCCTTCCTCGCGCTGTTTCTGCAGACGTGCCTCTGGTAGGCTGGACTTCCCCTCCTGAGCCCTGAGAACTGTGTTGTGTCTGTTGTCATGGAAACGATGGCAAAGCCACAAAGTCAATGCTGCCAGTCACGGGAGGCCTTGGGGACGCGTGACCTCCTCTGCAGCAGCACTAGTCACAGTCTCCCATGTCATGGGAGGGCTCAGATGAGTGTCAGTGAGGCAGAAGATGCATGTTTCTGCGATCCCGCGGGCACCTGGCCCTGGCCATGCTCCCTGTTGGAGCTCTGCAGCTTCCTGCCTTGCTTCTTTCCCTCCAAAAGGGGCATCATTCAGACTTGCCCCTGAATTGCCCAATAAGAACTCAGAGAAAACAGCACCACACCAGGACACCATTTCTAAAGGTCATCTGAGGAGAAATGGCCGTGAGTTCAAGCACAGCTGCTACTAAGAGCTGCTTGGGGGACAGGTAGACCTGTGTCTAAATCTTAGCGAGATCACATTAGGCAAAATACTTAACTTCCCTGAGCCTCAGATCCTATGTATGTGAACAAAGAATCATATCACCTTCTTCAGAGTTGTATAAGGAGCGGATGACATCATGCGCATAAAATGTACCACATAGCACCTGCACACACCATTCCATGTGCAGAAGCTGTTGCAATGACTCCCTCTGCTGCCGTGACTGTCACCTTTACTAAGAGGTGGGTGTCTTTCCAGTAGGATTTTTAAAAGGCAGTAAACTTCACACCTTTTCACCCTACCACACAGATGCTGGCTTTTACAAAGTCCTTTGATACAGTGATGAAATTCATACCCATTCAGCAGTTCACTATAGAAATGACCTTAGCTAAGAAAAGTGTCGCAGGCTAAGGAACTGGCAAACTCAGCCACTCAGTCAAAGCAGAGAGCAAGGAGCCTCGGAGATCGGGCAGGGATGAGGGGGCATCTGGAAACTGTGGGAGACCCTAGGCTGTGCAGACCCACGTGGGGTCCCCACCAGGTTTCCTGTTGGCTCTACCTGCACCCACGCTGACAGCTGGCGAGCCCACCTGCCCCCAGGTGCTCAGCCTCCTCCCACCAGGATACAGGGGTCTCACTGACCTGCTTGCCGGATGGGGCCGCTGTCTGTGCTTCCTCCAAAGCCAAACTTGTCACAGAAGGGAGGTGCCCAGTGGGCCTCACAGTGGCAGTTCTTCCTGTTGTTGCACACCTTTCAGGGCAGAGGGGAGGGACGTGGGGTTAGGACATACGCCGCTCTGTGCATCACCACAGGAGCACGGGGACCATGGTCAGAGCCCCCCCCAACAGTGACACAGCCAGACTCAGCACATGCCATGGTGCAAATGAGCTCAAATCTGGCACTACACACCACACAGGTGCGACCAGACCTGAGGCTGCAAAGACTCATCATCTGCCTATTAGTGGCTGTTAAGAGAGTGACGAAGATTATCTGGGTTCATCAGCTTGCTTCCCCCACCCATCTCACTTCCTTCTCTATCTCCCCATCTTCCTTTTTGAATCCAGAAAACTCACTGTCTGACCACGAGGAGAAGCCCCCTCAGCAGTGAGGAGGGACCATGCTTTGCGGCTACAGACCCAAAGCCCTGGGGCACCATGGGACCTGACAGATGCTTGGCACATCCCTGTCTCCTTCAGACAGAAGGCTCGGCGAGGCTGGTGACTGCTGGGTCCTGCACCAGGCAGGGGTCCGAGGCAGGCCCGCCATTTCCTGAGCCTAGCAGGGTGCATGGGATTTCCACTAATACTTCCTGAAGCCTGTCCCCTGCAATGCCTGCCTCCTTCTTATGGAGTTTCCCAGTGGCTGTTTCCTGACTCCCAGCCATGCACCAGGGTGCGAATCCAACAGTGGATTCTTTTCCTTGTGAAATAAGAGAATGGTTCTGGCATGGCAAGAAAGGGAGACCAGGAAAGCCCGAGGAGGCTGTGCTTCGCCCTTGTTGGGCCCAGCTCATAGACCAGAGCATTCCATGGAGGGGCCAGGAGCCCCTGCCCACCTGGTTACCAAGGGCTACCAATGGTGGCCACTCCCAAGCCTGTCCATGCTGGTTGGACTGGTTATTGTGCCAGATGTAACTAACTGAAAGTACATGATCCAATGGAATATTACCATGAAGATGATATATATTTAATATTTTTCTATGAAAATTAGGTTGTCAAGTCCAGTCACGGTGACTCATGCCTGTAATCCCAGTAAGTGGGAGGCTGAGGTGGGTAGATCACTTGAGGCCAGGAGTTCGAGACTAGCCTCGCCAACATGGTGAAATCCTGTCTTTATAAAGAAAAAAAAAAGTTAAAATAAATATTAGGTTGAATCCGTTGGGAACACTGGATTAAAAAAGACAAATCACTAAAAGAATTTCTGAAAAATTAGGAATGAGTGGGACAACTGCACAATGATTGGGAAGAGTGGCAGGGGACAAGCAGGAGGCTGTTCTTGGATGCTGTTGAGTGTCTAAGGTCCCCCTCCCCTTAAAGAAACGAACTAGAAGTTGTTGATGATGCATTTTTGAGTGGTTTATATCAGGAAGTCAATGCACAATGACATTCAGTAAATCAATCCTAAAGGCCTCAGCTCTCTGTCAAAATATGGCTGCCAGATATTTATTTCAAGGCAAAATAAAATGTGTGGAGTATACATCTCCCATGTAATGCTTCCCTGCCTCAACCGACTTGTTTTGATGAATCAACCACCTACCCCCATTGCTTCAGATAAGAAGGCCGATTGTCAGGATAGGCTTTAATAAGTTAGAAAGTAGACTGCTGTAAAGCAGAAATTGAGTAGAATTAGTTGGCATGTGGCAGAGCCTATGCCAAATATAAGTGTCTTGCCTGTTCCCTCAAAGATGCTGCTGCGGATGTACTAGCCTGAGATTCGTGCCTGCCCCTCATGGCTTCTCTCAGTAACTCGTGGTCATGTGCCTTGTTTTAAAACCCACGTGAAGGTGCTGCTGGGAGCCTGCTCTTGTTAGGGTGGGACTGTGGCCAAGCTACCCTTCAGCAAGGCATGGCCAGCTGCTCCACCTACCCAGGAAATGTGGACCTCTCCTCTCCCATGTGTGGATGAGGCCCAGGGGTATTGGAAAGGGTGTGGTCCAGGGTCCTCAACCAGTTTGCGGCTTGCCGGCCACATTACCTTGGGAACACCATCCCCCCAGCTCAGGGCTTGGCTTCTTCAGTAAAATAATAGGACTGGACTTGATCATCTCTTAACAGCCATCAGAAAATAATCTATGATCCAACGAAGACATAAGAAGATTCCATTCTATATTGGGAGTTAGCTAACTTTACTGTCAACACACCCATCTGAGGTGACACTGTGGTCTTTATGGTTCTGGCACAATGGTAATTTACAACCCCCTCCCCCCTGCACCCCGTAATTCTGTGTAAGAATCATTGGCAAGTGTCTACAAGTTTTAAAATAAAGAATTTGGAGCCTGATTTCTGTAGAAAATGTTTCAGGAAAACAAATGAACCTCTGGTGTGGTTAATCAAGACTAATACGATTCCATTGGAAAGAATTAAGCCCATCAAGAAAAATAAATTATGTTTTAAGCAATTAGAGTTCTCTTCTACCCTAAAGGCTCTCTGAGCTAAAATAACAGCCTCCTTTAGTTGAAACCCATTGTGTGTGATTTCAAGAACATGTGTTTAATATGATCTGTTGTCCTTGTTTTAATTCCTTTTGGAAGTATTTCAGTTCAGACACTGGTTCTGAATGTTGGTAGAAGAGGAACAGCGCAGTTTGAAATGTTAATGTGAAACTCTTCATGAAGGAAGGCTGGTTTTCAAATTACTTTGAACAACAAAAATCTTTTTTTAAATCATAGAATGTTAATTCAAAAGGTAATTATGGCTCAATCTGATTTTCTTTGTTAAATAAAAGTCACAATGAAAAGGTCAAAGGAAATGAATGTCTTTAGAAAAAAATATTGCAAAGACATTAACTGCTCTATTTAAAAAATGCTATGGATTGTGAAACCTTTTACAAAGGAATGATTTATTACTTAACTTGTTATGGGCTGGCTACTCACCCCCCTGCCGTGGCACTGCACTGTACACTCATGAACCCCAAAGACACTAATGTTTTGACATCGACGATTCAGGCAGATCTGTAGGAGGAGGAAAACACAGTAAATATCTTAGTATTTCTCCAACCCCCCTCCCTCAGCCCCAGCATACGCACATACATGTATTCAAACAAAAAGCAAGCAAAAGAAAGCTTGGAGAAGACCCAACCTTGTCTCCGTTAATACAGATGCAGCAAAACAATACATTTTACACTGGACTCAGGCACGGATCTTATTGCTGACTCCTCCAAACTCAGCACATTTTGAGACTAAGTTCAATGTGAACACTATGAAATTATTTTGCACTTTATGGCTTTTAATATAACTTTCAGTTGATCTTACAATTATAACTGATTTTCTTATGAGTTTTGTTTGGAGCTTGTAATGAAATCTATGTATTGCAGCATTTTTTTCTTCCATTAAAAGATACAGGAGAGGGCGAGGCTGGGCACAGTGGCTCATGCCTGTAATCCCAGCACTTTGGGAGGCCGAGGCAGGCAGAACACAAGGTCAGGACATCGAGACTCTCCTGGAAAACATGGTGAAACACCGTCTCTACTGAAAATACAGAAATTAGCTGGGCGTCGTGGCATGTGCCTGTAATTCTAGCTTCTCGGGAGGCTGAGGCAGGAGAATCACTCGAACCGGGGAGCTGGAGGTTGCAGTGAGCCAAGATCGTGCTACTGCACTCCAGTCTGGTGACAGAGAGAGATTCCGTCTCAAAAAAAAAAAAAAAAATAAAAGATGTAGGAGAGGGCTAGACAGATTACTCCTTCTCCTAGGGCCTGGATAGACAGAGACGGAGACTCCAAAAATCCAGGGTTGAAGAGTCTTTTAAGGGAGAGATTGAAATATGGGAACTTTTTCCAGATACTGACTGACAAGTAACATCATCAATGACAGAAACCATCAGTAATGAGGCTCAGCAGTGGAAAGCGGAAAACAGACTGCTCCTTGAATTTATCAAGCTGTTGCAGTGGCAAGCATTTGCTAAATGATACCGTGCCAGCTGAAAGAGTTCAGCCTCATTCCAAAGGTGCATAATGTACTCCAGACTCAAGGGATGCAGCCCTTTATCTCCTATAAGATTTTACAAATCAGTGGAGTCAAATGAAGAAGAATCTAATGTTCAAATGGCAGAATCATTTTTTTTTTTTTTTTTTTTTTTGAGGCGGAGTCTTGCTCTGTCGCCCAGGCTGGAGTGCAGTGGCACTATCTCGGCTCACTGCAAGCTCCGCCTCCTGGGTTCACGCCATTCTCCTGCCTCAGCCTCCCGAGTAGCAGGGACTACAGGCGCCTGCCACCACGCCCGGCTAATTTTTTTGTATTTTTAGTAGAGATGGGGTTTCACCGTGTTAGCCAGGATGGTCTCGATCTCCTGACCTCGTGATCCACCCATCTCGGCCTCCCAAAGTGCTGGGATTACAGGCTTGAGCCACCGCGCCCGGCCGGCAGAATCATTTTTAATCAAGTAGAACCTTCCTATGGAGGAGGTCACCATCCGACCCCAACAGGTCATATAAGGCAAGAGGCATACCCTTTGGGAGAAGTGCTGGCCCAAGCAGCACTGAGGGGATTCCCACTCTGTGGGTGTGAATTCTGGCCAAGGGAATGGTCACATTCCAGCTGATAAAAGAACCTGTCCCAGATTACAGTGAACACAGCAGGACCCTCATGAGAATCACTGCTGATCCCTGAGCCATCAGAGAACCAAGGTTCTGAGATCAAAGCACATTTCATCTTGAACATGGAAAACAAATTTGATGATAAATTGAGCCCTTGGAATTGGAATGTCCAGATGCATCTGGCCCTGGCTGTTCAGGCTAGTTTTTTAAAAAAGGTGTCAGTCAGAATGGCTGTTATTAAAAAGTCAAAAAACAACATATGCTGGCAAGGCTGTGGAGAAAAAGGAACACTTATATACTGCTGGCGGAGTGTAAATTAGTTCAACCATTGTGGAAAACAGTGTAGTGATTCCACAGAGATCTAAAAGCAGAAATTACCATTTGACCCAGCCAACCCATTACTGGGTAATACCCAAAGAAATATAAATCATTCTATCATAAAGACACATGCACTCATACGTTCATGGCAGCACTATTCACAACAGCAAAGACTTGGACTCAACTTAAATGTCCATCAATGATAGAATGGATAAAGAAAATATGGTACATATACTCCATGGAATACTATGCAGCCATAAAAAAGAATGAAGTCATGTCCTTTGCAGGAACATGGATGGAGCTGGAGGCTATCTTCCTAAGCAAATTAATTCAGGAACAGAAAACCAACTACCACATGTTCTCACTTATAAGTAGGAGCTAAATGATGAGAACACACAGACACATAGAGGGGAACAACACACACTGGGCCTATCAGAGAGTCGAGGGTGAATGAGGGAGAGGATCAGGAAAAATAACTAATGGTTACTAGGCTTAGTATCTGGGTGATGAAGTAATCTGTACCACAAGCCCCCATAACATAAGTTTACCTATATAACAAACCTGCACATGTACCCCTAAATCTAAAAGTTAAAAGACAAAATATGATTTGAGCCTAAAAAAATCAGATGTCATTTTAATGTCAAGGCTTGAATACGAACAAATGTAGGTAAGGAGACATTCAGAATGTATGAGAAGATTCACATACTATCCTATTTCTCAAGGAAAAAGCATTTGTGGCTCAGGGTGTGTGGGGGCAAAGACAGGAGAGTGGAGGCAACACTTGTCCTCAGGATTCTGTCTCTGCCTCTGTCTTTTGTTCCCTGTATGACCTCATGTTAGTGAGTGATTTCAAGATCCTGTTGAATATGGAGTCTAAAAAGCATGTGGGGGTTATTTCATCCTTTTCCTAAAACATTGTATTAGCTTGCTGTCATTTAGTCTGATGAGAAAGTTTGGTGAAAAAAAATCAGTATGGCAGAGCATGAAAATCTCAAATTCTTTTTTTCTTTCAAAAAAAAAAAAAAAGTTTCACTTTATTTCTAAACCTCAAAATATCTCCATGTATCTTTCTCCCTGTTCTCTGAAAGGACTCCCTTCTGGTTTTGAGTTTTTCCCACTGCTTTCCCTCTCCTATTCTTCTCTCTACAGGGTCTGTAAAAATACATCTGATTTCCCTTTCTGTCCAGGTGAGGACAAGCCCCCAAGAACTCTGTGCTAAAAACCAAGCCACATATCCAAAACCAATAGAATATGTGATTGTATTTCTTTCCAAAGTAATTTTCTGGCTAGAAGTCCTCATGCCACCTGGAGTGTAGAAATGACTTATTAACACTCCAGGCCTAAGAAGACAGGCTTCATTGTCCCCAGTCTGCATTTTAATAGTCAGACCAGGATCTAGGATTTATTGACTTTTTCTTCTAGGTGCATCTGAGAAGAAGTGGATTTAAGAAAACAAACAAACGCTGTAACCCAGTTCTTGCACAGGCCGTTTTTCAGTGGGCCCTGTTCCAGACTTACATTTATGATCCAAGCAAACATTTGGGCCTTACTTTTCCATCTGCACACTTTGTGCCTGCAAGCACAAGCCCAGGGTCCGGCATGTCATCGCCCAAGTACACGTGGGTCCCCCGGCACAGAATCCGGCCTCCTTCCCGCAGGGGGATGTTTGTTTCTATGGAAACAGCATTGGTACCAATGACTGGCCGGCTGGCACCTCCTTGACACTGGATTTTTCCACATTTAGCATCTCTGGAAGGGTAAGAACAAACAATTCCCAAAGAGAAACCGTTTGGAACCAACCCTATGCAATGTGGGAAGGTCAGAGCAGAGATTTTGCCAGGATGTCTGGATTCCATACCTCATCTCGCATTTGGCAAAGGAACTCTTTGAGACTTTGCCACAGTTGCCATAAGGATCACCTGCAGAATTGACTCTCTCAAAGCAGATCCCAGGGGCAGGTTTAGCACCTGAAACAGAAGCAGAACTGCATTTTCATCTCCTGCAGGTGTTTTTAATGTTTTTGTTTGTTTGTTTTTTGTTTTGTTTTTTTTTGCATGGCTCTAGGCCTCTCAGATGGTTAAGGGGAGACATGTTCGAAGCAATCACACCCAGTGTCTGCCCTGACTCATGGTGGGAGCTGGCTAGGGGAAGCCAAGGGTGTCAACAGCTCACATCCTCTCTTGACTCAGCACACGGCAAAGCATATGTTTCAATGCTTACTCTTCCTTAGGTCTGCTCTCTGGGCTCATGGCATGTGTGGCCTCTCAGGAAATGAGGCCTGGCTGTGGGATGAGATCTGATCCAGGGCAAAAAGGAGGTGGCTGGCTGGCTGCAGAGAAGGGGAAGCTTGCCCTCTTTAACAACATCCCACACAATTCCGGTGAGAAAATGCAAGCCAGGGCAGGCTCCAAAGGAGCAATGAAGATATCTTCTGCAATAATTTTAGTCCCACAAAGCTCCCTGTAAGAGCAAGTCCTACCTTCTATTAATACCTTCTATTTTATTTGCAAGGCAGAGATTTCTCTAGGAGGCCATGGAGTCACAAACCCTGTTAATCCCTAGGTACAGCATGATGGGTCCCAGCAGAGAGGGTCATGGCAACCAGAGAACTCAGAAATGGCCATTTTTAGCACATCTTCCAGCCATGGAAAGAGAGCACATATAATCAGGGTTTGTAGCCAAAGCTCTGGAGGACTCCTGGGCATAGTGATGTCTGTTGAAGACTATTGAGCAAGTCAAGAAAACATGTCACATTCTTCAGAACAAACCATGCCCTGTGGTGTGGTCCTTTTTCTCTCCCTCGTTGGTGTCCTGTTTGGGCACTTTATCTCACGTTGCTTCTGATGGCCAGGATGCTGACACTCCAGAGCCCCACTCTGACTCCTGCCCTTCTCTGCTCCCTACCCCGGGGAGACTTTATTTGCCTTCCAAGGTGACAACGGATTTATTTAAGATACTTCCTCCCAGGGAACAGAAGATGTTCTTATTACTAAAAACATCCCCCTTCTTTAGCCTGCACCTGATACCTCATCAGCTACTAGCAGACATGATCATCTCATTAAACACACACACACCACACCACCTTGGCACCATTTGAAGTGAGCAGTGTGCTCAGCGCTCAGCCTCTGCAATGAGCCAGCCTTACACCTCTCCTTTTCCCATTCTTGTATAAGTCACGTTAGAGAAACTTCCGCAACCTCCTTTTTCAGGGGCACTAGCGCAGACTGGACACAGTTCTCTGTCATGGAAAAAGATGAGGTTCCTAGCTCCTCCCATCGCATTCCCTTTCCTTCCACCTGATCCACATCTGCCTTGCCCACAGCAGGATGACACCACCGACACACTCAGCTCACAGCAGGATGACACCACCGACGCACTCAGCCCACAACAGGATGACACCCCCGACACACTCAGCCCACAGCAGGACGACACCCCCGACACACTCAGCTCACAGCAGGATGACACCACCGACAACATGATCATCTCATTAAACACACACACACCACACCACCTTGGCACCATTTGAAGTGAGCAGGTGCTCAGCGCCCAGCCTCTGCAATGAGCCAGCCTTACACCTCCTCTTTTCCCATTCTTGTATAAGTCACGTTAGAGAAACTTCCGCAACCTCCTTTTTCAGGGGCACTAGCGCAGACTGGACACAGTTCTCTGTCATGGAAAAGATGAGGCAGGTTCCTAGCCTCCTCCCATCGCATTCCTTCCACCTGATCCACATCTGCCTGCCCACAGCAGGATGACACCACCGACACACTCAGCTCACAGCAGGATGACACCACCGACGCACTCAGCCCACAACAGGATGACACCCCCGACACACTCAGCCCACAGCAGGACGACACCCCCGACACACTCAGCTCACAGCAGGATGACACCACCGATACTCAGCCCACAGCAGGATGACACCCTGACACACTCAGCCCACAGCAGGATGACACCCCTGACACACTCAGCCCACAGCAGGATGACACCACCGACACACTCAGCTCACAGTAGGATGACACCACCGACACACTCCGCTCACAGTAGGACGACACCACCGACACACTCAACTCCTGTCTAGTAGGGACCTGATTTGTCCGCATTCTGCCCTCTTTTTCTCTTTCGTCTCTCTGTCAGAGCAGGGAAGGATGGGGAAGGCGAGCCTCAGTGTGGAACCTGCACTTTGTACTTAATTTCATCCTGTTTGGCGGCACTTTTGATCAAAGTACTTGGATCTGATTGATCAAAGCAGTTTGGAAAAACTGGCATCTAGAATAGTAACAATGCAACAGTTGTGTGTTTTTGCACACACCCTATGTATTTGTTACTTGCCTAACTCTATCTCCTTCCCATCCATCCTTCTTTCCCTCTTCTTTCCTCCTTCCTTCCCTTCCTACTTCCTTCCGTCATCCATTTATCTACCCATCTATCCATTCATCCATCCATCCACCCGTCCAGCCAGTCAGCCAGCCAGCCAGCCAGCCATCATGTTGCAGGCTTCAATCAGACACACATATTTATTCAGCACCTACTATCTTCCAGACATTGCTAGTATAACAGGGACCAAACTGGACAAACCTCCTGCTTACTTGAAAATTGCAAGGAGAAACAGAAAGAAAACAAATGATTTTGTTCCTCTAAAGTCCAGTGTTAGGGAATGCTATGAAGGTAGAAACAGAGTAGGAGGGTTCAGGGGACTGTTGCTTTTAAAGGCAGGCTGGTCAGAGAAGTCGTCTTAGAGAAGACATCATGAGCTGAATCCTACCATTTAATCCTACAAGGTAGGTCTCATTATTCCATTTTATGGACAAGAAAATGAGGACATCAGAGGTTAAATATATTGCTTAGATTCACATAGGTATTGAAGGCAGGATCATCTAGGGGTGAAGCCAGGCTTCTGGGCTGTTCCCTCCTGTGCTCCATCCTCACAGGTGCTGGACCTTGCACTGGGTCTCAGGCGTAGAGAGCAGATTAAGACCTGGCCCTGCAGCCCAAGCAACAGCAGGTTCAGTGGCTGTGGGGTGTGCTGCAGCTGCTCATGGAAGGGCTAATAAAATGGGGCAGGAAATGGCTTTGTTGCTTCTTTCCCTACTTCATAATAAGACCAGGACTCAGAAATACAAGCAGCTCCTAGTGATTGCTTAGCTCCTAGGAAATGGGTGGGTGGAGTTGACATCACTGCCATTGCACACAATGCTATTCTGATGTCCTAGTTTCTGCTACCTTTATTATAAAGTAATTTCTTTCCTGGGAATTGTGACCACTTAAAAAATACATATACCATGGTGCAATTCAAATGTGCCAGTTGATAAATTTGTTTTCCTTATAGGGAGCTCTAAAGAGACTTTGAGCAGTTTCAGACACGTGAGCTCACAAACAGCTCAATGGCAGCCCGGGAGGAGAGTTGGATGAGGTGGGACTGGGGAGTACAGAAGGATAAACACAGAGAGAGGAAGGGGGAGAGAGAAAGGATGAGCGAGATCAACATCAACAGGGACTGAAGACGCTGCAAATGTGCTGGTGAAGCAAAGGGGAAGCTTCATACACGAATACCAAATAAAGGGCTACCGTTATGATAGGAGGTCAAACAAAGGCATGGAAACAGTGTACAATCAAGTATAAAACCATTCTGCAAGCGAAAACACTGGATCTCTACTTGGGCATCCAAAGCCGAAACACACTGAGCCTTCTGGGTCAGTGTGTGGCGTGGTTTGGATCTGTGTCCCCACCAAGTCTCATGGAGAATTATAATTCCCAGTGTTGGAGGTAGGGCCTGGTAGGAGGTGACTGGATCATGGGGGCAGTTTCTCCTGAATGATTTAGCACCATCCCCTTGGTGCTGTTCTTGGGATAGTGAGTGAGTCATTGAGATCTGGTCGTTTAAAAGTGTGTGGCACCTCCCTCTTCCTTCTCTCTCTTGCTCCCACTCTGGTGTGTGATGTGCCTGCTTCCCCTTCACCTTCTGCCATGATTGTAAGCTTTCTGAGGCCTCCCCAGAAGCAGAAGCCACTCTGCTTCCTATAAAGCCTGCAGAACCAAGAACCAATTAAACCTCTTTTCCTTATAAATTACGCAGTCTCAGGTATTTATTTATAGCAGTGTGAGAACAGACTAATACAGGGTGTGCTTATGATTTTAATGCCCCAAATGCTGGTGGAGCGGCACAGCTCAGAAAACCAGGTGTGTGTAAGATGCAATGCCTTGTTTACCAGTAATGCAGAAGCATGGTACACGCGCCAGCAGAGAGCCACCTGGCATTTCAGGAGCGCCGCCATTCTCCCAAAGACAAACCCTCAGAAAGGCTTATGGCCAATTTGAATATGTGAATTTTACTAACACAGATGACACAGTCAAACATCATCTTATTATATGCTGTCAATTTAATAATGAGAAACAGTTAAATAATCACGTTTTAATTTAGATTGTCTTATTAAAAACTCTCCCACACTGTGGAACAATTTTACTGAGATTACGTTTCCTTTGCTCTCAGTGTTTTTATTTTTATTTATTTATTTAGAGACAGAGTTTCGCTCTTGTTGCCCAGGATGGAGTGCAATGGTGCAATCTCGGCTCACTGCAACCTCTGCCTCCCAGGTTCAAGTGATTCTCCTGCCTCAGCCTCTCATTTAGCTGGAATTACAGGTGTCTGCCACCACGCCCGACTAATATTTTGTATTTTTAGTAGAAATGGGGTTTCACCATGTTGGCCAGGGTGGTCTCAAACTCCTGACCTCAGGTGATCCACCTGCCTCAGCCTCCCAAAGTGCTGGGATTACAGTCGTGAGCCACCACGCCCGGCCTGATCTCAGTCTTCTTGTTTTCTGTGGCACATTCCCTGCACTTCCGGCTTTCTCAGGATGCTGACATTTTTTCTTCTGTTATCACTGGAAATCTTGTTTCTAGGTTTGAGTACCCATTCTTCCAACAGTGGGCACTTTCTCTGTTAGCCCAGTGGGTGTATATTCATGAC